GTGCACTTGAAAAGAATGCGTATTCTGCTGTTGGGTAGAGTGTTTGATAAATGTTAGGTCAAGTTGGTTGGTAATGTTGAGTCTTTTTTTTTTTTTTTTGTAAATCTTTTTGTTTGTTTGTTTGTTTTAATTTTATTTTACTGAGTTAGATGTAATGTTAAGTCTTAAATACCCTTACTGATTTTTCAAATTTGGAAAAATTTCAGTTGCTATTTCCTCAAAAATTTTTTTCTTTCTCCCATCTTTCATTCTGTTTCCATGACTCGTGTGTGTGTGTGTGTGTGTGTGCGCGTGTGTGTTTTCCGTTTTCCTTTGGTGGTTCTATTGTTAGGTCTTCAAGTTTAGTTATGTTTTATTCTGCAGTGTCTTATCAGCTGTTAATCTCATCCACTGTATTTTTTATCTTAGACATTGTAGTTTTCATCACAGTGAGCTCATTTTGGGTCTTCAGTATATTTTCCATATTTCTACTTAGCATGCTCTATCTTTCCCTTACCTTTTTGAACATCTTAAGTGTATTAATAATGTTTTAATGCCCCTGACCTGTACTTCTATGATCTGTCATTTCTGTTGACTGAGTTTTCATTATAGGACGGTAACTTGTTTCTTTGTAAATTTGGTGTTTTGGGATCATAGGCATTTAAAATTTTATGTGACTAGGTAGTAGAAAAAAACATGTTTCATTATATTAGATTGTATTTCTATATACAAAATGTATAACATGTATTTATTTTAGACATGCACATATATAATTATACACACATATGCATATATGGGTGTGTATGTATATGTGAGTATAATTGTGTGTTATATGTGCATTTATTTATTTACTTCTGGCTTTTTTCTGGGATACAGTTAAGTTACTTAGACACATTTGATCCTTTCCAGGCTTAAGGTTTGTTAGGCAAGACCAGCTAAGCCTTAATTTTCGGGCTAGTGTCACCTCCCTGTGGAGCAGTAACCTCCGCCGTGTGTGCTTCCGGGGCCCCGGCTACTACTCCCAGTTGCAGTCTGTTGGGAACATGAACTTGCCCCGGGCCGGGTGAGCTCCAGCCATCGACCCACCTGTTTCTTTCCAGTGGTTCCTTCCTTGGCCTCAGGGAGCCTCCCAAGCATGTGCTGATCGCACTCAATTGGACTTGAGAGCAGCCGAGCTCCCTGCTTTCCAGGGCAATGCCCTGTGAACCCCAGCTGCCTTGGCCTCCCCGAATTCTCGACTCTTTCCTTGGCTCAAGGCGGCCACCCGGCGGTGTGCAGTCCTCTCCCTGGGGTGCAGTCTGGACACGCGCTGCAGGCAGGAAGATGGGGCACCCAGGGGGCTCACCTTTGTTCCTTTTTCCGGAGCTCTCTGTCCCGTGTGCTTCTTTCCCAACGTCTAGAAACTCTTCTTGCAAATATTTTGTCCGGTTTTTAGTTAAGACTGTAGGGAACACCTGGTGCTTGTTGCTTCATCCTGTCCTGAAGTGGAAATGGCCTGGTGGACTCTGAACATTAATCAGTGAGCCCCGTCCTGACGGGAGGGACCAGACCCCCACCCGACCCCCTGCACTGGAGGAGGTCAGAAGTCCTGCCTGCACAGTGGATAATGAGCGTCCATTTGCATTTTATGTTTTACACAACTGACCAGAAGAGAGACTCCTGCCCCTGTGATTTTTGTAAGGCTCCTAGTATCTCAGAAGCTTCTGGAAACTTCTTTAAAGTTCACTTAATTTCAGTGACAAAGAGGGAAGGGGACCTATAATACTTGAGGCCTAAGTCCTTGGAAATGAAGAAAACTCAAGATACCCACCTTGGGTTGGAGGCAATGGTTTAGGAGCAGAAAACGCCTTGTCCCACTGCCCAGAGAATTCTGCCTCCCCAGTTTTGCAGCGGGTCAGATGGTTCCCCAGAAGGCATCCTAGGGTTTGGCCCAGTGAGCGAGCCATCCTTCAAAGAGCTCACTGAGCAAGGGCTGGCAGGGAAAATGGAAGGAGGAGGTGGGGGAGCATCTGAACTACCCGTCTCCCTTCTGGATGAAAAAACAGAAAACCACTTTGCTCAGGCGGTGAGCCAGCCCACCAGCATCTCTCTCCAAGATGCTGGCCTCCCAGATGTACCCCCTTCTCCAGCGAGGCTGGAAGGGGCCTTCAGCAAAGCAGTGTAGCTTCCCAGCCGGCTGTCAGCTTGGCCCACGTGGTGGATTTTGCCACATAACTAACTGCTTTAAGAGCTGGAAGGATATCCCTGAGCTAAGGAAAGAAAATCTCAATCTGAATCTTTCAGTGGTCACGCTGATGAATGTGTCAGTCTTAAGGGGAAAATGAAGGAAATCAGATCAGCGTGGCTTCATATAATTTCCTCAGTGACTTCTGCACAATTTGGACCCTTTTATTTTTTTTATGAGAATAGGGAAATAAAATCAGTACTTTGAAGCCATGTGAAAAACATACCGAGAGCGTCAGTGGGACTGAGAAGGGCTGATTTGGAACTAGAAAAGGATGAAGCCTAGTTAAAAGCAAGTGAAAATAAAAGCAAGAACTCTTTTAATCCTAAAATCTGAGTTGACTTCTTAGAAGTCACTTTTTTGTGTTAATTGGAACCTCTGCTTTTTGTTGAGGCATGTGCTCCAGCCGTGCCTGAGGAAGGCTTCAGACCTGATAGCAAAGTGGGGTGAGAGGCGGGTGGTCTGGTCCTGCCACCCATAACTTTTGCAAGCCTTTTCCTGTCAGCAGTTTTCCAGTCGTAAATGGTGGCTGATTTCACCTCCCCTCCTAACTGTTTACAATGGTATTTGTATTTATATATTTTAGGGTCCTTTGAACAGAGCGCTTTGTTAATGGAGTCTTTCTATTCACTAATTTTACATCAGACGTGAGATGAGAAGGGGTCACACCTCTCTTGCAGATGAGGAAATGAAGTTTGAGAATCAAGAGATGTTAAGTGACTTGGCCAGTTCACAGCTGTAAGGACCCACAAAAAAACCAAAGGCTTCTAATTTCAAATTCTGCCCAAAGGTGCTGCCTTCCCCCAGGGCTGGTGGACGATACTGGGACCAGTTCTCAGGATAATGGTCCGTAACTGTTTCTTTATCCCACCTCACTCAGCACCCGATGTACCAGGCTGTGTGCCCGTAGCTTAGTGGTGCATTTTCCCATAGAGGCGGCAGGTCGAGCACGTGGGCCTGGCCCCGTCCAGCATCAGGAGGGGTTATGAGGATACTGGCTGTGGTTTTCTGACTGCTCCCCTGTTACTGACTGGTATCATCTGATACTTCCTTGGCTAACTACACTTTTGCAAAAAGAAGCATAAATCCTGAGCTGATGTAGGGAAGGAAAAAAGATGCTAAAAAACGTTCTGGAGATTGGTCCTCGTAACTCTGGAAGGGTGCCTGACATTACAGCATCTGCTCAGTACATTTCGAGCAGAGGTCTGGGGCTCCCGACTTTTAAAACAATTACGATGGCTGTGACGACTGCCTGCAGAATGCTTAATGGCTAAGCCTTTAACACAGTCTGTTACGCTACAGATTAAATAAATGATTTTTCATAAGACCAAACCATTTAAGGAAATTGACACTGATTTGTTTCCTTGAGAAACAAGATACAAAAATCAAATTTAGCAAATGGCCTGGTATCTCCTGCACTGGTTTCCAAACCGCCCCCCGCCCCACCATTTTCATATTGAATCAAACTGGGAATTTAAACTAGGCGACTGTATTCATTTTCTAGCTGACTGACTTGACTTCTGTTCTTCAGTCTTCTAAACTCAAAGGACACCGGGGCAGTGCTGGCTTTGCTACACAGCACACTTGGAGACGTTACAGGACGGGCAGGAAGGCGGGCGGGCTCTCATCCCCATCCCCAAGGACAGTAGGGCGAGTCTGTGTGCGTTTCAGCAACACTGTTCTTAGTCATTCGAGGGAAATGGGGTGTGAAGGCCTCTATGAAACAGCAGCTTATAAAACGCCCTCTTTATTACCAATAGACAAGGCTTTATAGGTCACAGTAAAACCCCCGCCCCTGAGTGCACACCTTGACCGGGTACCAAACGCGCTACACTGTAATGCTGGGTGTTCCCCCTGAGGCTGTGATCCAGGTAGTGAACAGAGTCCTGTTCAACTCTGAACCCAGACTTGGCACACAGTAGGTGTCTGAAAAACTTTTTGATGTGACCAAAATTATATAGAAGAAAGAGAAGTACACGAGTATTTCACTTTAAAGACTTTTTTTTTTTTAACTTTTCACAAAGGATTCGCTGTAAGCCTTCAAGTCATCTTGTCCAACCCCAAAGCTGTGTTTAAGCGTCGTGGGTCCCAGCCAGGGATGCAAGAATCTGACTTTCTAAAGCAGATAACGACAGTTGAAGAGCTGGAACCGAAAGCGAACAACTGCACCAAGGTACTCGTTTCCCTTGTGCTGCCCGACCTTGACCGCGCTGTGTCCGCGCGGCCACCCACCAGCTTTCCTCCCCTCAGGTCCTCGTGTGGCACACTCGGACAGAGAAGGTCAACCTGGCCAATGAGCCCAAGTACCACCTGGACACAGTGAAGATTGAGGTATGAAGTGGTGCCGTCCAGCGGCCCTGGGCAAGGACGAGGCGGACGTGTGCGGTCAGGCTGCGGGCACCCAGGTGTCAGTCACCTTCCTCGGGACAACGGCCGTCATTGCCACCCGCCGGACACCTGCTTCCGGAGAGCTGGTCAGTTCACAGACGCTGAGTGGATGGTGTCACACGTGTGCTTTTGTCTTCATTTGTCCTGCATGTTCCCCCCACAACTAAACTGGAAGACCTCTGCCCAGTACAGCTAATGGCTGCAGGGTACCACTCTGAGAACCTTATATACTTCTTTTTCCCCCCATTGGCCTTATAGTTGGTAGAAACAAACAGGCTTCAGAAACAGATAACAAGTATTTTGTCAACTAAACAAACATCCCCCATCCCTAACTTTGCAATGTTAAGTAATTTTTTAAGGTTGGTGACAGTATATACATCATAGGAAATAAAACCCACAAAAAAAGGTCTATGGATTCATCTGTTTAATATCAAGATTTAACAGTTGTCAATACTAGGCACCATAAAATGTAAACACAAGGACCATCATAAACCTGGATATACCTTCAAGGACTGAAGTGGCTTTGTTGAGTTACTACCCTGTTTGCATACAGTGCAAGGCCATCGTGTTAGCACTATGTGTACATAAGAAGAGATCCAATTACGAGAGAGGCAGGTAAAATTTGACTTCTTTAAACATTTGTTCAACTAAGTTTTGGAGTAACATCCAGGTTTATCTTCCTTTCACTAACCACGTTCCCTGTTAAGCACGCCATTACAACAGCACGGTGAAGTGAATGATGAAATAAAAGAATTTTGATACACTAAAAAACAGTGCTCCGTGATACATTTACATTCTATTTATATGATTAAACATTTGATCATACAGGACCTTCCTACAGGATTACTGGCTAATTTGGGGGTGGGGGTTATACTGTTAGAGGTATTACTAACATGATGATAACTACTTCCCTTATATGCAAACATTGGAGCTATAATTGTATCCAGAGTAAAACTGATCACGCAAGTTGACTTGGCAGCTCCTCTGCTAACGCGTCTATGAAATCGGGGGAAGCATGAGCGAAGCTGCGCTCGACGTGAAACGGTTCCTCAACCTGCTTTGCACCACATCAAATTTAATCAGCACAGACCAACACGGTCAATCAGATAAACTCTTAATATGAACAAATGGGGGAAAAAGAAAAAAATGTCTGTACATGAAAAACAGGGAGACTGGATGCGTCTGAGCAGGAATGTCGGTGGGCGTCTGGCGAGGCTGGGCCGCAGTCTCACTTCCACAGCTGCGTGCTGAGGGTCTGGCCCGACGCGCCCCCGGACCACCCGGCCGTGGTGCTGGGGGGCTGGCCGAAGCCCACCGCGGGGCTCCCGCCGCCCAGGCTCATGCCAGCCATCTGCTGATTCACCTGTGAACACACAAAAGGCCTCCTTCACTTTCCACTTCTGTTACGGATTTGTAACAGTTACCCCGGTTTATCAGAAGCTGCCTCTATTTGGAGTTGATTTGGCTGGCGAGGTGCTGAAGTGTAACAGCAAGTCTCAGTGTCTTCCCTCCACGTGAGGCGGAGTCGGGCCCCGGGGTAGACACTTAGTCACCGCCACACCAGGCGTTCTCTACGGAATCGGGCAGCTGCTGGGTTCCCTCACTGGGCTTCAGTTCCTTCCACTTTTTCGCACTGTCCATAAAGTGACCTCAAAACATTTTATATTTATTCATTCTCTGGACTCAATTTCTTGTCCTCCAAAGATTAACCATGCCTGAAAAAAGTACCAAAGTAATCTTTGAAGTCATTTCTGAGTCTGCCTTTATTAAGGTCTTAAATGGCTCTCTATACTTTCTAAATATTAAAAAAGGTCATCAAATATTTCCTCTTTTGCTTTGCCAACCACATAAACATCTAAAACGAATACAAGTGTAAGATGACATGTATTTTCCTTCCAGACTGGAGTCGTGTGCGTCTATCAGCATCCTAACCCTTCCCCTGTGGTCCTCTTACCTCTAAGACTGATGATAGTGAAGGAAACACAAGAACACTTACCACAAAGTAGAATGGATTCAAACCTGTGTTCAGGGCTGGGCTGTATTAATAAAGTTTACTTGTTTGCAGTTTTCCCAGGACACTAGCATTAACCCCATCACTGATGCGGTGTAAGTGTCCGGAGAGGCAGATCACTTCCTCACACCTACCAGAGGATGTCTGAGCCGCTGTGTCACGGCCTGCAGACCCCACTGAGGGAGTGCTGGAGAACAGCGGGCCTGGAAGCAAGGCCAGTTCAGCCAGTGCCCTAACCTGAGCAGTGGGAGTTTTACATTCTGGCTACACAAAAGCTGTTCTTGACATTTGGTACTTACAATTTTTGAGATTCCCAGAGTAGAGACCAATGTCATATAGATACTCCTTTAAGTTGTGACAATAAAAATAGCTTGGAATATTCATGGAATATAATGGTGATTTTGCTAATGTTCATTAGAAAGCACCATATACTAGTCCCTGAATGCTGACCAGGCAGAAATCAAGGTCAGCGAAATACTAGGGGAACATCAAACAGGAAGAGCACAGGGAGAAGCGTGGGCACGTGTGCCCAGGTCTCAGAGCCTCCATCTGCGCAGCCATTTCAGAACGGATCTGAAAGAGGTAATACTAAAATGTCACTGCCTGGCTCTAAACCAACCTGGGTAGAAACAGGATTTTGTAACATGAGGGGATGTCTGACAAAAAATATGGACTTGCTCATATCCTATGGGAATTCTTGAACTAGTGAGTATTCTTTTTCAACATAAATGTGATTATAAGTAAGAAGGAAATACAACTTTACAAACGTTTCTGAACAAAAAGATTTTTTATAAATTTATGGGCAGCAGCCGTAGGAAACAGCCTACATCTCTCAAATAACAGTGCTTTGAGAAAATGGGCTGCGTTTTTCTAATTTGTGAAAACTACCCCAAAAAACCCCCAAAATGATAAGTGAAAATAGTTTGTCTAAACAAACACCCCACCAGGGAGCTGGGTTAAAGCTTGGTGCTAATTTCAAAAGATGCCCAAGATAATTTCCAGCTCTTACAAACAAATTAGGGATATTCACCATTACAGCTGTGTTATAATCTGAAATGAAAAGAACGCCTCACACTTCTCTACAGAATATTCTAAACACAGGAGCAATGACAGTTCGTTCATCTGCTGGGTTAGACAGTTTTGACCTTGTATAACATTATCCCTACTCAGTTCTTTTTGCCAGACTGTTAGCTTTAAATACAAATAAAACCACTTAGAATACAAATCTGGTTTTTGTGGTTCTGGAGAAGCTGGAGAGAGGCCGACCCTTACCTGCGAGAGGTTCCACTGGGGCTGCTGAGCTGGCGGCAGGCCAAACTTACTCTGGGGTGCAGACATCGGTCCCACCATGGCTCCCTGGGGGCCAGCCACACCCTGAGGAAGGGGCATCACACCAGTCTGTGCACCTCCCATAAAGCCATTGGGCACGGGCATGCCCACCATCATGTTCGCGCTCTGTCCCATCACGTTTCCAACGAGGCCGGGAGCTGCAGGAACAGGCACGCCCATGGCTGGGAAACCTTGAAATGCAGCCGGTGCTTGTGAGGTAAACGGTATATTTGTGGGTCCCATGAACATACCTGCATCGTAAGAACCATGCAAAGAAAATGAATGAGGAAAACAGGTCCACTGTAGACAGCTGCACTCACCTCTATAAGCACAGAATAGGGTTTACCGTCTTTCTGAACCACCCACAGCAAAAATTAATTCTGGTCTGGCTGCTCCTACTGCCTAGACCAACTCACACCTACACCCACAGAGCTGGTTACTCCCAGAATGCAGACAAATCAGTTACAAACCTGAGCAAATTTAATCATGATAAATAAGTCTTATGCAACAGCTACATAAAATATCCATTGTGAAGACCAGACTACGTAGCATGAGATTGTGTTTCTGCTGATTTGCACCACTGGCCTCTCATTACCAAATAAACAAGTCAGAGTTGACTGTGTCTGGTTTTAAGGAAGCAGCTGAGATGTCATACAATTTCAGCTCATATGTGAAATGCAGCCCATTTTAGAGGAAATGGTCTGCCAGATTAAAACTGAATACAGTGAACCTCACTGTGCTAGTATTTCTTTATGAGCATTAAAAAACCTCAAAGCTTTTTTTGATTTCATGTGGTATTTCAGACTTCTTTACTTGCAGAAAAAATACCACACTGTACACAAAGTTGTAAACTTCATGCAAATCAAATTTAAGTAATTCTTCAAAGATTATCCATGTCCCATAAAGCCTGTGAAACAATTTTAAGTGATGTGTGACCTGCCTCTTAACACTAAATGAATAAAGTTTTGTGCATCCTGCGCTTTTAATCCTAACACTTCATTCATTTTAATTCATGGTTGTGTAAACTGCAGCAGCAGCAGTAGTCATCAGATGGGAAAGACAGGGAAGAGAGACAACTGATACTCTGTGACCACAAAGGACATGCTTCCAGCATTGTCACTGCGATCCACTGGGGGCAGGTCTCAGAGTGAGTTACCAGGAGCGCCCTGCTGCTGCACGGTCCCTGCGCCGTACAGAGAGAGGATGCAGTCTTTGGAGAGCTGCTTCTTGGCCACCTCTTCTGACTTAGTGGTTTGCTCAGTGAATAGGTCCAGATCCCCAGATGTCACTGTAGACAGCGTGGCAGCTGCTGGTACAGAGGACGTCCCCTGAGACAGACACCAAAACATAGCTCATCCATGACTTGAAATCCACATGAAGTTATGAAATTAGACAGAAATGGAACTGCTGTAGAAGGTAAAATGGTGGCATTAGAGTCCTTCACAAGCCCATGCAAAACCAACGGGTAGGATAAAGACACAACGTTTCCTGTTTTGAACCTGTTACTGTGAAGGAAGGAGTAGTAATAAACGGTGTCTGCCTGCTAGACAGACGCTGAGCTTGTGCCCATCACATCCTGACCACAGTGGGTCCAGCAGGAGGTATGTGGAGCTGCCTGAGGACCAGCACCCCTGGAGGTGCTCGGGCATCTCCTGCAGCAACTTCTGCTTCAGAGGAACTGGTGTCCCTCGGAATAAAGAACATCTCTACAACTACAGTGGACGGCAAGGGTCTTGCAATGGCTGATTTTGTCTTCTTTGGGGGGAAAAAAGCGTTTGTTTTTCAAAAGCTACATCATGGTATTTTTATGAAGCTGGTCTATAATTAGTTTTAACCACAACATTAGGATGTTTCTAGTCTGTCCTGAAACGAGGCACAGCAAGCCTTCAAGCACCTGCACTCTCACCGAGGCCTCGCACTCCGCTCTTGGACAGGGCGCCTGAACGCAGACACAAATCAGTCTGCGGGTAGTTAATACAGAACGGAAGTGTTCGCTTCATCTCCTATACTGTGCACACACGTGGTGGCGGACAGTCACAACTGACACCTCACTTTACTCATCTCTGCAGGCATTAAATATTCGATCACGTGTGTATACAAGGAAGTGACTTGGATATGCAGGGTTTCAAAGATTTCTAGGAAGACTAGTAAAAACTGGAGAAGAGTCTTCTCAAACTACAGAACAAGGTGAGCAGCAGGCAGGGAATACTTAGGCTCTGCGGGTCACATGTCTGTTGCAATGACTTAACTTGCCCTTGCAGCGTGAAAGCACCCACAGACTACATGTATGTGAACGTGACCGGCCGTGCTCCAATAAAATTTTTTTGCAAAAACAAGCTGCAAACTTAGTTTGCCAACTCCTGGCCTAACGAACAGGAGGCTTTCAAATCAGCAACTGCTGAGAGACAATCCAAAATTGACACTTTGAAGCTTTCCAAAAAGAAAAACAGTGATCACATAAAATCACGTTCTAACTGCATACCTGAGCTGGGGGCATGACAGTTGCGGGCAAGGGATTAGAGATCATCGGTCCGAAGATGTCCAGATCATCATTCAGGGCTGGCACCGTGGCTGTGTTCCCATTGGTCACTGGTGCCTCTGCAGGGCCATATGAAAAGAACACAGGTTCTCGTCTTAAAGATTCTAGACTCTCTTAAATTACTTGAAATGTGGCATTATTTTAAAAATTAATACATAGTTAAGAGGCAAATTCAAAAAGTTCACAACAAAATATATGCCCTCCTCCTACCCCAGACTCTGTCCTCTTTCCCAAAGAAACCATTTCCAGTTTTGCTTATTCTTACAGAAATATTCTTCACCCACCGGTTTCTAAGTATATGTGCAAACCTCATTTTAACAAATTATATTACACTATTCACATTATGCTGTGACCTGATGCTTCCTTATACAAGGTATTATTCTGAGTGCTTTACATGTATTAACTCATGTAATCCCCATAACCTTATGAGACAGGCACTAGTTTTGAGATAATTGGCTAAGCTGGGATTTGATACCATGTTCTTACAAATAATGCTTCTCCATAAATGTGTATAAGCATTTCAGATACCACTTCGTATCATGTTTATCTACCCTGGCAATAAATTGTAATGATTTAAAATGTCTGAAATGTTAAAATTTAAAGTTAACATAAGGAAAAAAACTGGACAGAAATAAAACAAATACACATCATACACTGGTTCTGTAGGAAGTATCCACAAAACACTGATACAACTCCTTTCTTTATTCAAGCACGGTCACCTTCAATGACGGCTGTATCCAGCTGCAGACAGCACTGGGAAAGGACTCTGAGAGAGTGCCAACCACTTGGCTCAGCCCCTCTTACCCTCACATTTTTATATTTGTCCAGAATGTAGAAGGTGGAAGGGTGGGGAGCTGGAGGGGATGCAGTGGAGAGTTTGCGAGCATGGTATTTCAAGGAATGGAACCTCTGACACAGCTCAATTCTCTGTGGCCACAGCCCAAGGAACAGTTCAGAACATCACAACTCCAATCTCCTGGGACTAACATCCTAATTGAGCTTCTATTTTAATAACTAACAGTCTATCTGATCCCTGTTTGATGAATCATACACTCCTCGAAGGCAAACTAGGCATCGTTTAAAACTTCTTCAGCAATGACTGGGATGATGTCCTGCACAGAGTAGGTACTTAAAAATCTGACAAATTTAATGAAGATCTACATGTACTGGGTATTTCTATCACAACCCACAGAAACTCACATGTTTCTTGTCTTTTTTGAACTGCAACTACAGAAACTAGTAACCTTCTATTTCCCTGTTTTAAGCTTCACTAGAACAAATTATCATTAATTTCAATCAATAAATGGTCACAATGAAATATTCTTTACTACTTAACTTATAAAAATGTGTGTGAAACCCACAAAAGGCTCGTTTGGAAAAGACTAACTGCAAATATTTTTCAATCATTTTCAGTGATATCACATTATCAGAACCATAAAAAAGAAATGTATTCAGTACACATGTGTATGTTACACATGTCATAGCTCTACCAAGCACTGTGGACAATTTACAGGCGAAGCAATAAAACAATGCCTAGATCATTACTAACTTATAAAATATTTTAAGCTAACACACAACCATAGCATAAAAGAACTCAAATATGACTCATACATGAAAATAATTTTTTCCATTTCTAACCCCTTCAAAATGGCAACAATCATTCTGAAATCAGACCTTTTTAAAGGGCTTTTTTATGTTTTCCAGTCCATTCCAGCCTCCATCTACCTGCCATGTAGTATGTCATGTAAATACGAACCAGAAATAAAATATTTTAGAAGGACAAGGTATTCCAGATTAAAAACACAACTAAAGGAACACCTTCTTTATGGCATCCATGATTCATTAAAGAGACTCAAATAACAATGACATGTAAGCCAGGGTGCTTTAACCTCTAAGCTGAGGAGTTGGGGACAGGAAAACAATCTCATCGAACAGACATGTTCCGTTCTGCCATATGAACAAGGAAGCACTTCATCAACAGAAAATATGACTACATTACGCGCAACTTAAATTCACAGACAGAAGCACATATCGTCCAAAACAAACTGCAACCAAGAGGAACAAAAGGAAAAAAGGAAAAAGAAAAAACTGGCGAGTAGAGTATAAGTAACTAATTCCAGTTTTTCCATTAAAATGTTTTGCTGTTTCAAATAACAGTGTGTGCACAGCTCCCATCCTTCTCAATAAGGTAACACGACTTCTGTTTCTAACACTGCACTGTGAACAGTTCATTCTCTCCTTTCATTAAAAACTGTATATTTAAAACTAGCCTTTGGAAATCTCAGAAAGGCATTCCACACAAACAACGAGGCTAGGCTTTCTTTGTAACCACCCACCACGGTTAGCGGAGTGGCAATGAAAGTCAACTTCACAGCCCAGGGGACTTTGGAATCCTTTAGAATGAGACAGAGGAAGCGTCTGCTTAGGGACAGTGATCTCTGTGGCAAGACTGATTCTATTTTCAAGTGACTGGAGAAGATTTTCTCTTAGCTCCAAAAATCTAATAAGGTGGGGAGCTTTCTCTCAGACCTGACCAAGGTTTCCCTCTCTCCAGCCTCCGGATGGACACACATCTCAACACCCCTGCCCTCTCTCCTCTTTGCCTCACACTTCTCCCCCGATGATCCCCTCATATGATGGATTAAAATTCCTATCAATTTTCCTTGTTAGTAAAAAAGCTAGGCATTCACAGAACTGCTGAAGAACAAATCCTTTAACCTAAATGGAAACTTATCGGCCTTGCAAAATCGGTAAACACACACTCCCGATGAGTTTTCCCACTGGATTTCACTGTTTGCTGACTTGACTTGCTGTATTTGGCTCACTAAACACACTCTCTAAAAATGACTGTTTCAATTCATCTCAAAACTTGTGGTTTTGCTTTTCAGTAGTTAAAAAAGACAAAGACTAGTTATCATTATCATACTTAGGAAAATCACCTGCTTCCTGAACTTTTCCATGTTATTTCTGTCTCCATGAAAGATGGGAAGGGCATCTCCTTTCACTATCTCAGGGACAGAGAGCAGGGCAGAGAGATTAAAGACTCGCTCATTGTCACCTCTCTAGTAGCAAAACTCATACTAGAACCAAGTCTTCTGAACCCTCGACTAGAAACTGCTCTCTACTTTCAGCTACATGTCCTCAAAAGTCATGTCATTACAACTGTGTGTAATTACAAGAACTCACTTAAAACTTTGAAAATGAAAAAGCAATTTTTAAATAGTTTATCATTATTTGTACTAAGAGAAGCAGCGGCATAAACAGTTCAAAAACCGTTCCACTGGGCCCTCACATTTCCCAATGCCCTCCTCTCCTCCCTGTCTTCACACTAAGTCCCTTCATCTTCTGTTTCTAGTGAGGCATCCACGTGACCAGGTCATCAGTGAGCACGGACTGAGTGAAGTAGTGTGGAATACAACCAGCCCCGGTGGTCAAGAGGATTCACAAGCCACTGCGAGTTCAGTGCATCCTTTTCACCAAGTGTCCCCTAACAGCACAATCTGCTGATTAACTAAAAGCTCAGAGGCCACAAAAGCCATAGAATACCAAGATGTTAAAAAAGTCTTTCAGATAAATATTCAAAAACTTAGAATAAGTCTTATTCAAATTAAATGGCTTAAATAGTGTAGATCACTATAATTTAAGCAAAATAATTAAATCCACATGGGTTACACTTTGTATGTACAGATACATGCGCGCAAGCGCGCTCACATCCGGCCCACGCAACCCTCCCCCACCCCCACCCCCCACCCCCGACAAATGGAAGCCTGTCTGTCTTCCAGGGTGGAGGGAACCAAGGACCAGCCTACACACGCCTGCAGGCGAGAAGTGGATGTCTGTGCAGACAACGCTTCGGGATCCAGCGCGGCGCCCCTCTGTGTGAGCGCGCTGATCCTCGCTGGGCTGCAGAGCGGGCGGGGCGGCCGCAGCGGGAGGCAGCGGCAGCCCCCTTTAATCAGTATGCAGAAACGAGCCGGTGGACAGTAAAAATAACGGGAGACCCAGAGTACAAGAAAAGCCTAAGGCAAGTGGAAGATAAGTGGCTGGGGACAACAACATAAAGAAGGATAATAAAGCACAAAGGACCTCTTGAAAAGACAATAAGCAAGCAGAAGAAATCAGGACAGTGCAGTGAAATGGAGAAGGAACTTCGATCTTCAAGGCAAGGCAGCAAGCCTGAGTTAGTTACTGTGGGTGACGATTTTCTTTCTACACTGCCTTAAGATTTCAGACTCATGTTCTATCTGAAAACTGAGCTGATGGGTGACTGTTTCAGTGCTTCATACACATGGCAGAAATTTACAAGAAAAGGTTAAATGTTGTGAGCTAAAGAAAACAAGTTAAAAATCAGTGCTACATCTCACATGAACAGAAGGCCCGCCCAGCATGCAGTTACTGGCCTACCGCACACCATGACACTGCGAGAGAGATGCTTAGTGAGAAGGTAACATTTCAAACATGACAAAAGTCGTGAAGGCCTGTCTCCATCATCTAGACATCTTCGATGCAGCTGGGGATTCTATTACTGTGGCTACACCAGAGCTCATGTGACACCAGAAACCCAAATGAGGACAGGTAAACAAGGTATTTAAAACAATATTTAGTGTCTTCTTGGGCCGTTCAAATGGCTCTGAATGATAATTTATGACAACAGTTTGGATTTTAATAACACATGGAGGAAGGAATTAGGTTTATTGATTTATTAAGAAAAAAAAGTTTTTTAAATAGAGGTGCTGGGGATTGAACCCAGGACCTCGTGCGTGCTAAGCATGTGCTCTACCACTGAGCTCCACCCTCCCTACCCAGTAACACATTTCTAATACTAACATTTTTAAGTTCTATTGCCAGGTACTCTGACAATGCTTTAGATAAAGTGTCTCAGTTTAATCCTCACATGACCTCTAGAGAGTTTCACAAAAGAAGACAAGTCTGGTGATGAAAACCCAGCTGCTCTCCCCATTTTGAGAAGCTCTTCCTGGTTCCCCCAGACAGAAACTGTGCCGCTTCCCTACCCTCATACAGGGGCTCACGCCGCTGCCCTGCCTCCTAGGAAAGTGCACGCCCCCCAGCC